AAACCCCAAATCCCTAAACCCTAACTAAAAACCCTAGAACCCGAAAAACCCTAAATACCCTAAAACCCTAAACCCTAAATCCTGAATCCCGTCTGAGGCGCCGCCCTTGGGCCTCAGGCTGTTCCTGGACTAAGGAGTCCCTGCGCCGTGTCCAGATCTGACAAGGACTCCGCCCTCTGCTTCACAGCCTCCCAAAAGGGAGGAAGGTACCCTAAATAGCTAGGGTTTTAGGGTTTAGGGGTTTAAGGTTTAGGGTCTAGGGGTATCCTCATAAAACCGTACTCTTATAGCTAGGGTTTAGGGGTTAGGGTCTAGGGTTTAGGGTTATCCTCACAACCACCCTAGGGTAACCCGATAATAACCCTATAGCAATCTTCTAGCATCCGTAGCGTCAGCTTCGAGGAACCTCTGAAGGGAAGGCGGGCAAGCGAGCACCATGGTTCAGGGCCAGCACGCGTAGCTCAATCACCACCCAGGCTCCCAACAGCATGCCCTCGACGTCCAAGGGCCTCTCCTCAGCGTTAGGGCTTAGGGTTTAGGGCTTAGAGTTTAGGGTTTAGGGCTTAAGGTTTAGGGTTTAGGGACTGCATGTCCTATTTGTTGGTCTCAAGTGATCGGGAGTTGCGGTCCAAGTTGCAGATCCGCTTCGCAACAACCAGACGCAAACCAATGCCCCCGACAGCGCTGGGGTAGCGTACATCTCGTGCTCTGCGTACAGGATCCGGGGTGGTTTTTGACCTCGGCCACGCAGCTGTATGACACAGATCCGAATCACGACAATCTAGACGCATGAATTAAGTAGCAAGACTATTTCCCGGACATGCCATACCCCAACACCCCATTCCAATTTTTCCAGGCCACAGCCCCGAAAAACCCTGCAGAAAGCCCTCTACACGATCTACTCCTATACCCTGAAAGCAGCATCTCAAAAAAAGGAGCCTTCAATCGAAGCCTCTCAGGCCCCCCATCCGGTTGATGATATAAATCCTGCATTACCCATAATGAGGAATATGCCATACTTCCCATTATTTAGGGTCCTTAAGGTAATGCAGGATTTTATATCATCGACAGTATCACGACACGCGCTGGGGGGCGGGCATAAGATGTCTCTCACAAGCCCTCCAAAGCAAGCAGTGCTCAGCCCGCGGAGGGCGCAGGCACCTGACCAGGGTTTAAGGGGGTTTAGGGTTTAGGGGTTGGGTTAAGGAGAATTTGGGGTTTACGGCTTCAAGGCTTAGGGCTTTACGGGTTTTGGCACAGGTTCACAGGCAGGATCGCTGCTAGCAGCTGACTTCCTCGAGGATCCATCACCAACTGACCCTAGACCTCAAACCCTACAAACCCTAAACCCTAAACCCTAATCCCTAAACCCTAAACCCTAACCCTAAACCCCTAAACCCTAAACCCAGGGCCCTAGACCCCAAACCCTAAACCCTCAACCCGAAGCCCTTCCTGCGTGCACGTGATGATCTGGCAAGCATGCTGCAATGCGCGCCCCGAGCACTGCAAACGCTGCTAAGCCCACGGTGTCTGTCCAAAAGACCTGCAGATGGGTAGTTCTCTAAACTAGGGTCCGTAAACTAGTGTCCCTTAAAAATCGGGATCTGTAAGGGTTCTACAGGGGTTTCTATAAGGGATCTATATGGGTAGTTCTCTAAACTAGGGTCCCGTTTAGGATCCTTTTTATAAGGGTGCCGTACTATATTGGGGACCTAAAAAGGGGTTCCCTAACTTTAGAGAACTACCAACATGGCGAGGGTTTAGGGTTTCAAAAGCCCAGACACCTACTGTAGCTCAAATCATGCCAATCCGGTGCAACCCCGAAGCTCTAAACCCTAAACCCTAAACCCCCTAAACCCAAAAAGTGATGCGAGTCGCAAACTCCCCCTCAGCGGTGATGCCATAGCTTCTAGCCAGATATGGCAAGCCGAAGAATGCTCCGGTGGAAATACACATGCCTCGAACGAGCAGACACACATAATGGAAACATTTAGGGTTTAGAGTCTAGGGTTCTGGGGTTTGGGGTTTAGGGTTTTGGGGTTTGGGGTTTGGGGTTTCGGGTTTAGGGTTTAGGGTTTAGGGTTTAGGGAGCTGCTTCAGATACTTTCAAGCTGGACCACTGCCGAGGCACAAAGAATGGCCTCGTCATAATGGGTGGTCCAGAAGATGGGCGTGCGACCCAAGATCACGTCTCGGATGGTTCCTCGGCAGCCACGTTTGGGTTTCAAGCCTCGCGCTCAACCAGCCATCGTGCCAGAGATAAATCCATTCACAAACCCTAAACCCTGATCTCTAAACGGCAAAACTCCGTGCCAAAAAACAGCTCCAATCTGGGACCCTCCAAGGCTCCACCTCCGAGGGCAGTGATAAAGCCCACCAAGTTGCCTGGGTTGCTGTTGAGGAACTTAGATACAGCTATTATAACACGGAAACCCTATTATTTACTGAAATTCCCCACGGAAACCCTATTATCTACTATATTTCCCCACACAAACCCTATTATTTATTAAAATTTCCCACGGAAACCCTATTATCTTTTTCCCCCACGGAAACCCTATTATTTACTATATTACCCCATTATGGTAGCTTAAGCTGAATCCCTTAACAGCTACCCAGTTGCACCCCAACAGATCCATGCCCGCCAGACCGGCTGCCAGACTACCCATAAAGGCGAAGCTGGCATCGCCCACGTAGTTCGCCACCATGAAGGTCCTCAGAAGGGCCAGGACGTAGGGCAGAAGGTTTAGGGTCTAGGATTTAGGATAGGGCCAGGACATAGGGCTGAAGGTTTAGGGTTTAGGGTTTAGGATTTTAGGGTTCAGGGTTTTGGGTTCAGGGCTCAAGGTCTTTGTATTTGAGGACCTTTGTCCTGGGCAACGTCCAAGAGAGCCTGTTTGGGCAGGTCTGTTTTTGGGGTTTAGGGTTTAGGATTTAGGATTTAGGGTTTTCGGTTTTGGGTTGAAGTGTTCTTTTACTCTACCTCTTACCTAGGTACGAAGTCCTTCAACGTGGTTGTAGACTAGAACCCCTGTACAACCCTTCTCGAACACTCTATTTCACCCCTGACCCTAAACCTAAAACCCTAAAGCCCCAACCCTAAACCCTTACCTTAAACCCTTAAACTTTTAAACCCCTAATCCCCAACCCTCTCCTGTCAATCGTTACTGTGTGACGATCACGGTCTGATAAAAGCATGATGCAAAGTGCCGCAGCCACGAGAGCCAGTCGCTGTCGCTGCGCTTTTCGGCCCTTTACCGCCATGGCTGAACTCCCCCCTAATCCCTGAACCCTAAAGTTCAGGGTTTAAGTTTAAGGGTTTCAGAGGTAAGGCTTTCGGATGGAAGGTTTAGGGCTTTGGGTTCCGGGCTAAAGCTTTGCGGTTTAGGATTTAAGGTTTAGGACTTTTAGGGTTAAAGAAATAGAGTTTAGAAAGGTGTTGGATGAACATCCTTCAACTGAGCCGATTGCAAATCCCAACGTCGGCTTAAGGATTTAGGATTCAAGGTTTAGTGTTCGGGGGAGGTGTATGACAAGCTCCAGGTGGCAAATAAATCTCAGCTGTGGGCAGCTGGACCTGGGTCCCTAAAACCTAACCCGGAACCGGTAGAGACGCTAAGCTCCTTTGCCGCAGCTTAACAGTCTCGCAAGAATGGGGGGGAGAGGGAACCCGAAGCCCTAAACCGGTAGAGACGCTAAGCCGTTTGGGAACCCTAAAGAAAAAAGAGCCCAAGCCTTAAGAAACCCTAAATCCTAAACCCTCCTAAACCCTAAACCCTAACCTCTTTGGGAACCCTAAAGAAGAGAGCCCCAAGCCTTAAGAACTCCTAAACCCTAAACCCTAAAGAAAAAAGAGCCCAAGCCTTAAGAACCCTTAAACCCTAAACCCTAAAATAAGCAGAGCCCCAAGCCTTAAGAAACCCTAAACCCTAAACCCTAAAAAAAAAGAGAGAGAGCCCCAACCAAGCCTTTAAGAAACGCGCATTCCGCCCTTGCCAGTCGAAGCTTCCACGATGTTACGTAATAGAGGGCTGAAGCCGAAACGCAGGTTAGGCGGCTGGAGTTTGGCCTTCAGGTTTAGGGTTTAGGGTTTAGGGGTTTTGCTTAGGGGTTTAGAGTTTAGGGTTTAGGGTTTGAAGTTTAGGGTCCAGGGTTTAGGGCTTCAGGTTTATAAGCGTTAAGGTTGAGGGCTCAGGGTTGGAAAACCTAAACCCTAAACCCCTAAACCCCTAAATCTTATACCCCTGAACCCTAAACCCTAAGCCCTAAACCCTATACCCTGAACCCTACCTAAACCCTGACCCCTAAAGCCCTAAACCCTAAGCCCCAAACCCTAAACCTAAAACCCCAAAGCCCTAAACCCTAAGCCCTAAAGCCCTAAACCTACAACCCCAAAGCCCTGAACCCTAAACCCAGTGACCTCGAGGATCTGCACGGTGTTCATGTAGCGCCCCGGCACGCCGGCAGGATGAATTCGACCTGCTGAGCCAAGGTTTTATTTAGGGTTTAGGGTTTAGGGTTTGGGGTGGAGTCTCCCGGCGGCCTGGAGGTATCCGCCCGGATCGAAGAAGCGCGGCAGCGATCTCCCACTGGGCATAGACCTGGAAGGAAACACAAGGGAGGGTTAAGGCTTTAGGGTGTAGGGGGTTTAGGGTTAGGGCTTTAGGGTTTAGGGGGTTTGGGGTTTAGGCTTCAGGGTTTTGGCGGGTTTAGGGTTTATAGGCGTTCGGGGGTTCAGGGCTTAAGTTGAAGGCTGTACTGAGACGTAAAGCTTTGAGGAGCTTCCTATCAGTTCGCTCTAACCCGCCTAAAGCTCTGAGGTCTAAACCCTAAACCCGTAAACCCCTAAAGCCCTAAACCCCAAACCCTAAACCCTAAACCCCTAAAGCCCGAAACCCCAAACCTCCGAACCTTTTCAGGGAAGCGAAAGAGTGCAGCATACCGCAAGAGGTGCTAAACATTGAAACGAGGCCAGCTCCTTAGGAGTTCGCAACATCGCGTTGCTCTAAGGGTTTTTTTGCTATGGCCGAGCGCGCGTGTCTACGCGATTTGGCGCCAGCCCAAAAAAGGGTTCCCGC